GTGCAGGTGAGGATTAAGGAGTGACAGGTGCAGACGTAGGTGCAGCGACAGGCGCAGCGGCAGGTGCAGGGAGCAGGGCGGGTGCAAAGTCCAGGGCCACGCCTCAGAGTGACTCACGACTGAAACACGAACGAGAAACACCACAGGCTTTAAAATGTCCCGGAATGTCTCAGTTTAAGGGTTTTATTATTCTAATGATTCCTCTTCAGAAACAAACCTGGAGCTGTTATTTTTTATTTTATTTATATTTTTTTCTGTTTGTTTTTATAATCGTCATCTCCTTTTCTGTCCTTTTTTATTTTTTTTTTTTTAATTATTATTATTTTTTCTGTTAATTTTTTTTTTATAACCGTCATCTCCTTTTCTGTCCTTTTTAAAAAAATTTATTTATTATTATTTTTTCTGTTTATGTTTTTATAATCATCATCTCCTTTTCTGTCCTTTTTTTTATTTTTATTTTTTTTATACAACACCTTAAACAAATAAATTCACATGAACATTTTGTCTTTTTTATTTATTTTTTGTCATTATTATTTATGTATATATATATATTTTTTGTTTTTGTTTGTTTGTTATTAATCATAGTAGTATTAGTAGTAGTATTAGTTTATATATTTATTTTATTTATCATTCTATTATTATTATTATTATTATATATTGTGAGACTCGACTCGTATTTCTTCATTTTTCCTCGAGGTGTGAGTGATTTGTTTTTGTTTTGTTGTTTTTGTTCGTTAGTTTTGTGAGTTGTTTTCTCTGCGTTAAAATGAAAAAGGCGTGTGCACATGTGTCTGTTTACACTGTAGGGAGCATTATTATTTGATCATTTTTTGACACTTGCCAGAGTAAAGTTCCGTGAGAAATTTCATGAAGTTCTCTTGATGTTTCCTGGGTCCACCAAGACTCTGAAGTTTATTGTCTGCAGAAGTTTTAAATCTGAGATGAAAAATCTGTTTTTCTTTAATAACAACAGAAACAAACTCAATCAGAAACGTCAACCTGGTCCATGAGGCGTCGGTGTTTCAGTTCATCACCACAGAAACAGTTTATGAGGAGCCCAGCCCATGTCACATGATCATTATATCCACAGTGTGTGTGTGTAATGTGTGTATGTGTAATGTGTGTGTGTGTGTACAGGCCCATGAACCTTTGTGTGATGTTGGTCACACTTGAGAATGTCTGTGTTTACTAATGTGTCACCAAAACGTCATTGTTCATGAGTTGTGTGTGTGTGTGTGTGTGTGTGTGTTTGTTGTGTGACTGTAGATCAGTGTGTGTGTGTGTGTGTGTGTGTGTGTGTTCGTTGTGTGACTGTAGATCAGTGTGTGTGTGTCACCAGAAAAACAAGAAATGGAAATTATTTTTGTTCCAATTAGAATTTTAACAGCTGCACTGAAAGAGAAAGAAACTGTTAGAATGAGTGATTATCTGAAAAACTGTTCATATTTGACGATACAAATGCACAGACATTTGACATTTTGAGAACACACACACACACACACACACACACACACACACACACACACACACACACACACACACACACACACACACACACACACACACACACACACACACACACACACACACACACACACACACACACACACACACACACACACACACACACACACACACACACACATATAAATATGGACATTATGGATCATTTGGTGTCAGTTTTATGTCTCGATCATCATTAGTTTCTGTGATGTGGCAAAAGTCTAATTTCTTTGGGACTTCAAAGCAATATTATATAAAACATTATAATTAATAATAAAAAAAAATATTAAATTAAGTTATTAACTTAAGTTATTTGAGAAAATCAGATTTTTGTGCCGGAGCTTTATAGACGCTGTGAGGATGAACTTCAGAGTTTTGTTGGACCCAGTAGATTTTATTCAACTGAGCAAATATTCCACAGATTTTCTTTTATTCGATTTTGTCACATTTTAAAATTGGGCACAAGTTGAATTTTTGACACTGGGGCAAATGATGCTCCCTGTTACACATGAAAAAAAAAAAGAAACAGAAACAAATAAATTGAGTGAATATCGTGAAGTCAGGGATCCATCAGTGTCACATGATTCTTACACGAGTCAAAAATGGGACACAAACTGGATTTGTTTTTCCCAAATCTTATAAAATTTTAAAACCCTTTTGGTTCTTAGATTGTATGTCAATTTTTTCATTTTAAATATTTCCAAAATTATACCAAACCAGTCTGCAAGTGTTGGAATGGTTGGATTTAAAAACTGAACCTTAAAAATATCGTTTGGAGCTTCGTGTTTTCCCGATGTCGTAAAGCCGGACGTTCCCAAAATCCACGAGAAAGCTTCACCTCCACAGATCCACATTTCCTCCAACTTTCCGAATTTTTATTTTTATATTTACGTAGTTGGGACGTCCTAAAGAATCTTGTCGTGTTTTTCCAACCGTGTGAACTGGTGGAAGTTCACTGGAAACTTCAAATGTTTTCCCAAATTTCTTTAGATACAAATATTCCTGCTTCGTTTTCCCACTTTTTGTTGTCGTGTTTTATGTTCTAATGTTTCCTCCTCACAGACAGACAGAGGTTTTCATGTGGAACAGTTTTGTGTACTTTATATTTGTGTATTTGTGAACGGGGCGTGTTTGTTATGTCTGTCCAAACTCTGGCCCGGGGGCTAAAAGCGGCCTGTTTCTCGCGGCCCTCAGGCTTTCGGCTCAATTCTCCCGTTTTACTTTAAGCAGGATTTTTTTTTTTTTTACTGCAGGTTTTTAAAGTTTCCCCACGTCCTGCAGGAGGAAAACACGGACAGGCCCCTGAGTTTTATTTCTGCAGTAGTAGGAGTAGTACTAACAGTAGTAGTAGTAATTATATTTGTATATGTGTGTACAAGTGTGTGGGATCAAAGGTGGAGGACGTGTGTTGTGTTTATGCAGTACACACGGTTCCCACGGTCATGGAAAGCCTGGAAAAGTCATGGAATCTGAGTATCTCTTTGACCAACTCCAGTGTTGTGTTCAGTTTCCATGAGTCTGTTCTGATTATTTGTGAACGTCTGAGCGTTTTGTTTAAAAGAGACGACGATAAAAACACTGACAGGATTTAAATGTTCAGAAACTATAATCCCAATATATTTATTTATTTATTTTGGACATATAACATAACCCGTGTTGGGGAGTAACAGATTACATGTACTGGAGTTAAGTAATCAGAGTACAAATGATGAGTAACTGTATTCAGTTACAGTTACTGTTTGAGTGAGTGGTAATTAGATTACAGTTACTTACAGTTGACAGATTACAGTTATTACATGACGGTATTTTCCTGTTTTCACACTTTGGGCTGTATCCCTTTTTTTTTTTTTTTTTTTTTTTTTCTCGATGATTCCACTCATTGCTGGACACTAAACCAGGTCTAAACCAGGTCTAAACCAGGTTTAAAACCAGGTTTAAAACCAGGTCAAAACCAGGTCTAAACCAGGTCTAAACCAGGTCTAAAACCAGGTTTAAAACCAGGTCTAAACCAGGTCTAAACCCGGTCTAAACCAGGTTTAAAACCAGGTCTAAAACCAGGTTTCTAAACCAGGTCTAAACCAGGTCTAAACCAACGATTAAAACCAGGTTAAACCAGGACTAACCAGGTCTAAACCAGGTCTAAAACCAGGTTAAACCAAGGTCTAAAACCAGGTCTAAACCAAGGATTAAACCAGGACTAAACCAGGACTAAACCACGATTAAAACCAGGTCTAAACCAGGTCTAAACCAGGTCTAAACCAGGACTAAACCAGGAACTAAACCAGGTTAAACCAGGACTAAACCAGGTCTAAACCAGGACTAACAGGAAACAGGACTAAACCAGGATTTAACAGGACTAAACCAGGATTTAACCAGGACTAAACCAGGACTAAACCACGATTAAAACCAGGACTAAACCAGGTCTAAACCAGGACTAAACCAGGGTCCAAACCAGGTCTAAAACAGGATTTAACAGGACTAAATCCTGCTGTGTGGATGTGTTTCTTCTTCTTCTATCAATATTTTTAATCTGGTTCAGTAAAGTCTGGATTTTTTATTTTCTTTTAACAGACAAAACATCTTTTCTTACGATTTCCTCGTCTTTGTTTCTCTACAACTAATCAAGTAATCCAAAGTAATCAGATTACATTACTGACTTTGAGTAATTTAATGGATTACATTACAAACTACATTCTGGTGTATGTAATCTGTAATCTGTAATCTGTAGGGGATTACATTTTAAAAGTAAACTTCCCAAAACTGAACATAACAAAAGCCTTCACCTTATGAATACATAAAAAATTGAACATTATGGCTGTGCATTATCGCATTAAAAATTACATTTAAACACCTTGAATTAAATTCATTTGATTCAAACATGATTAAAACACAATGAAACATCCACAATTGAATAATTATCAAACATTATCATGAAATATCAAACTCTTTCTGATGCGTCACTAACCAGACGTGAAAACTGCTCCTCAGTTTTTCCCGTCTCTGGATCGAAGCAGAACTGAGCTCCTGATGTGAAACGTTCTGGATGAAAATGATGATTTTGATGAGTTTTGTTTTTATGAATCTCTGCATTGGTTTTAAAGTAAAATGTGAAATTGTGCGTCGACGCATCTCACTCTGCCTCGTCATCGTCATTTTATTTATTTTATTATTTCATTATTTATTTATGGATCTGTGTCGAGATCAATGAGCTGCAAAGTAATTCACCACAACAAGAAGACGACGATTTCACCCTGGTGTTTGTGTTTTAAAATGAAGCAGGAAAGTGGAGAAAAGACACAAACACATTTATATTTGTGTATTTGTGTTATTTGTGTACAGGTGTGTAGGATCCAAGATGGAGGACGTGTGTTGTAGTAATAGTAATAGTAGTAGTAACAGTAGTATTAAATATTTGTTGTGTAGTACAGGTAGTGAAGATAGTAACAGTAGTATTAAATATTTGTTGTGTATTTGTGTACAGGTGTGTAGGATCCAAGATGGAGGACGGGCGTCCCGTGTGGGCGCCTCACTCCACTGACGGGTTTCAACTCGGGACGATCGTCGACATCGGCCCAGACTCCCTCAGCATCGAACCTCTGAAGGGAAACGGGAAGGTACTAAAATACTTTACTACATATGTGTACTTTACTACACACATGTACTACACACATGTACTACACACATGTACTACACACATGTACTACACACATGTACTACACACATGCAATACTACTACATATGTGTACTTTACTACACACATGTACTACACACATGTACTACACACATGTTACTAACTACTAACTACTACACTGTACATGTACTACACACATGTACTACACACATGTACTACACACATGTACTACACACATGTGTACTTTACTTACTACACACATACATGCTACTATACGGGTACTACACACTGGTACTGTACTCTACTACACATGTACTGCTATATGTACTACTACTGCATATATTGTTACTTTACTCTACTACATACATGTACTACATACATGTACTGCAATACTTTACTGTACTACATACTATACTACAAATGTGTACTTTACTCTATTACATATGTGTACTTTACTACACACATGTACTGCACTAATACTACAAATGTGTACTTTACTAATACTACACGTGTGTACTGCACTAATACTGTAAACATTTGCTTTACTCTTCTACATATATGTACTACAGTCTACTGCATATGTGTACTTTACTACATAAGTGTACTGCACTAATACTGCATATGTGTACTTTACTCTACTACATACGTACTGTACTATATATATACTACACGCATGTACTTTACTATATATACGTACTTTACTATACACATGTACTCCACACAAGTACTACACTCTACTACATACATGTACTTTACTATACACATGTACTCCACACAAGTACTACACTGTACTACATACATGTACTTCACTACCTGGACTCGTGTTGATCACAGACTCGTGAAAATCTGCTCTGGAAATACATTCGATCTTAAAACTTTTTTTTTTTTGACAGCGTTTGCTAGTGTTTGCCTTGTGTCTCCGTGGAAACTGCTGAACATTACACCATAGAGACACATGTAGAACCCCCCCAGCGCACAGGGAAAATCAGACTGAAGTTGAATCTGTCTTTAGAGAAATGCACCGCTTCCTGTTTACACTTTTGTTTAAAGCTGCACTGCGTAACTTTTTGGCTGGGTTAGGGTTAGGGTTCACCTGTTTGTTTCTATGGATACGTCACTGCTCTGCCCGGAATGTTCCACAGTGTGACTTTAAACAGCTCGACTTTACATTTATTGGCGATTTTATGGCTCGAAAAACAGACGTCGTGACTGTGAGCGGGTCGCCTCTCCACAGATCTGACCTGGAACTGGATCTGGTTTGGTCTCCGTGGAGGTACAAAGGTTTAATGCCGCACTGCGGAGCATTCAAGACAAAGCAATAACCAGAAAAGTTCCACAGTGCAGCTTTAGTCCTGTTCTCGTCTTCAGTTTGTGTTTTTAAAGTGTGGAACAGACTCGTTGCTCAGAGGCACAAAGGCGGATGCAGACCAACACACACTCTCTCTGCTCCGTGTGTGTGTGTGTGTGTGTGTGTGTGTGTGTGTGTGTGTGTGTGTGTGTGTCGTGTGTGTGTGTGTGTGTGTGTGTGTCGTGTGTGTCGTGTGTGTGTGTGTGTGTGTGTGTGTGTGTGTGTGTGTGTGTGTGTGTGTGTGTGTGTGTGTGTGTGTGTGTGTGTGTGTGTGTGTGTGTGTTGTGTGTGCGTGTGGTGGTGTGTGTGTGTGTGTGTGTGTGTGTCGTGTGTGTGTGTGTCGTGTGTTGTGTGTGTGTGTGTGTGTGTGTGTGTGGTGTGTGTGTGGTGTGTGTGTGTGTGTGTGTGTGTGTGTGTGTGTGTGTGTGTGTGTGTGTGTGTGTGTCGTGTGTGTGTGTGTGTGTGTGTGTGTGTGTGTCCATCTCCATGGAAACGGCCCCCAGCTGCACCGGCTAAAGTGTCCCTCTGAAAACACAACCGCTGATGGTTCCTACACCAGAGAGAGAGAGGAAGAGAGACAGAGAGAGAGAGAGAGAGAGAGAGACAGAGGAGAGAGAGACAGAGAGAGAGAGAGAGAGAGAGAGAGACAGAGAGAGACAGAGAGAGAGAGACAGAGAGAGACGAGAGAGAGACAGAGAGATGAGAGAGAGACGAGAGAGAGACAGAGAGAGAGAGAGAGACAGAGAGAGAGAGACAGAAGAGAGAGAGACAGAGACAGAGAGAGACAGAGAGACAGGACAGAGAGAGAGAGACAGAGAGAGAGAGACAGAGAGAGAGAGACAGAGAGAGGAGAGAGAGAAGAGAGACAGAGAGAGAGAGAGAGAGAGAGAGACAGAGAGAGACAGAGACAGAGAGAGAGAGACCAGAGAGAGAGAGACAGAGGAGATGAGACAGAGAGAGACAGAACGAGAGAGAGACAGAGAGAGACAGAACGAGAGAGAGACAGAGAGAGAGACAGAACGAAAGAGAGACAGAGAGAGAGAGACAGAACGAGAGAGAGACAGAGAGAGACAGAACGAGAGAGAGACAGAGAGAGACAGAACGAGAGAGAGACAGAGAGAGAGAGAGACAGAGAGAGAGAGAGGACAGGACAGAGACAGAGAGAGAGAGACAGAGAGAGACAGAGACAGAGAGAGAGACAGAGAGAGAGAGAGACAGAGAGAGACAGAGAGAGAGAGACAGAGACAGAGAGACAGAGAGACAGAGAGAGAGAGAGAGAGAGAGAGAGAGAGAGAGAGAGACAGAGAGAGAC